CAGGTACGGTGGCTCAAGCCTGTAATCCCAGCACTTTGGGAGGCCGAGGCGGGTGGATCACAAGGTCAAGAGATCGAGACCATCCTGATCAACATGGTGAAACCCCATCTCTATTAAAAATACAAAAAATTAGCTGGGCATGGTGGCACGTACCTGTAATCCCAGCTACTCAGGAGACTGAGGCAGGAGAATTGCCTGAACCCAGGAGGCGGAGGTTGCAGTGAGCCGAGATCACGCCATTGCACTCCAGCCTGGGTAACAAGAGCGAAACTCCATCTCAAGAAAAAAAAACCTAATAATAATAATAATTCTTGCCCTAGATAAAAGAAATAGGTATGGACACTATAGAGTGAAGCCCTGTAGAATTGTATGGTTGAGAGGGGCCTCGTTTTCATCAGGCTGACCCCTGCCTGCTGTAGAGAGTCCAGACAATTCCACCACTTGGTTTCACACTAGCTCAGATCCTTGACTTCTCAATTTAAGATGGTTTTCACGATCTCATGCTCCCTTTTTACTGCTTTTAATTTCTCTTATTTGAAAGATTTTCTCTAGGGTTTAGAATTGGGTTATGGGGTATGTGTGTGTTGGGGTGGTGGGGGACACAGGTAGATATTGAAAACTTTGTCCCAGCCTTCAGATTTTTACCTTGGGACACTTTTCTGTCCCTTTGTCTAATATCTTCAGAATCATGCCTTCCCTGCCTCCCAGGGGACAACTACAGAATTTAGTTTGATAAAGGTTTGCAATCTCCCAGTGGGAGGGATCTTAGGGAGTCTTGTCTTCTGTCCTTGAGGTGACACAACACAGACTGGCCATAGAACTGAACCAGATAAGGTCCATGAGAACTCTGTGGCTCTATTAAATCAATTCAACAAATATTTACTGAGCATTTACTATGGCCCAGGCACTGTGCTAAAAACTGAACAAGGGCAATAATAGTCCCTGAGCTCACGATGACAGACTAGTACAGAAAATAAATGTACAAATAGCCATCGAAGGTATCACGTAAATTGTGATAAGTGCCACAAAGGATGTGCATATTGTTTTTAGAAAGAAGGGATGCCTTGCATGTAATAGGTCCTCTCAAAATTATGGTTAATTCTTTGCATGTGAATATATCAGTAGCCTAGCAGCCATTGCTCTTGTCTTTTATTTTTATATTTATGCTTCTTATTCCTCTGGAACTGAAAAAGTGAGACTTATTAAAAATATATAATTAATATGTTAATCTCTAACACAGAAGCAATTATTTCTTCATTTTCATTGTAAATAAAGGAAGAATTTTTTTTTTCTGAAATGTCCTCATCGGATCACAAAGCTATAATGTACACTACCACCCCAGTTTTGCACGTGAGGAAACTTTGTTCAAGGTTTAAAATAGCTTATGTCTTTTAAAACTTTAGGGTTTTTAAAGTCGTAATTAAAACAAAAGTGCTAATATCTGAGCCAGAAATCAGGCACTGCTTGAGGGGGTAAGTGTAAGGGTTCTGGGTCAGACTCTGAGAGTTAGATCCTGGTTTAAACAGGGCTTATTACTTGGTACAAATTAGTTACCCTTACCAAGACTTACTTTTTTTCTATTTGTAAAATGAATATAATAATAGTACTGATCTCTTGGGGCTGTTGTGATGATTAAATGAGATTTTGCATGTAAAGCACCTAGTACACACTAAGTGCTCAATAGATGTCAGATAACAACGCTGCCATTGTTACTATTATAAGACAAAGCAGTTGAGAGCTCAAAATAAGGCTTTAGAAATGTGCAGGAAAACTTGGATGTGTGTCAGAAAGCAAAACAAAACAACAGCATTCCACTGGATTTCTTTATTTGCAAAATGGGCTACAAATTCTGATGGCTTGGGGTTTCTATGGGGATTAAATGAGAAAATGTATGCTGAAAGTATATACCCAACCCCTCACATAGGTCAGCCCTCAGTTTTTGGCCATCTTCATCATCAAAGCAGGATGAGACCAGTAGTGGAGGCTGGGCTTTAGGCAGAGGTCAGACAGACTCATCTAGGCAGGGTGGGGATCTGGGAAGCCCCAGCAGGCAGTGATAAGAGGAAATCTAGAAATGCAGGTGTCTTGGCATCACTTGGCCATGGACTCATGGCTGATGTTCAGGCAGGAAAGAAGAAACAAAGACTTAGCCCCAGAGACTGAACTTGAGGACAGGAAAAATGAGAGAAAGAGAAGAATCAAGATGGGAAAGGAGAGGAGATAATATGGCAGGCCACAGGCAAGACTCAGAAGCACACAGGCTGCCTCAGTGCTGGTCCACTAGCAGTGCTCCTTGCTTCTTTGGCTTTGGAAGCCAAACCAAACCTAGAGCCTGTGGGTGGCAGCTAGAGGAATTGGCATGCTGGGCCATCTGGTGCTCACCTGACAGGTGACACTGGCAGATGTAAAGTAATGGGAGTGAGTGGTGACAGGATTAGACCACAAAAGCCCTTGTTTTCTACTGGAGTTCATAGACCATGTGCAAGTCTTGGTGAGGGCAGTTGTCTTTGGAAAATCCTCCATTTGCAAGGAGTCTTAATGGTGCTGCGTGAGCAGCCAGGTCTCTATAACTCTTACCTTCCCCTGATGGGGTGTTTCTTGGAGAGAAACAGAGATCTCCTGTCTTCCTCAGTCGTAATGAACTCAGAGGGAGAAAGTACAAGAAGCAAATGCTGGCTCTGACAGTTGGCCTGCCGGTAATAACCTTAATCGTGTTCCCTGAAGGTCTGGAGAAAACAGTTATAGTACCTCAAGGGCATCTCAGGACAGTAAATGGTCATATAGAAAAACAGAGCAGGAAATAGGATGAGGGTGAGATTTATGGGTCTCGTCTTCACCAGCAGTTTCAGTGAGAGTGAGGAGAGTTGTGGAGTCCAGGCCTGCTGAATCTCAACCCTGCTTGAGTTTGTGGGGAGACATAAAGTGGGGAGAGAAAGGCAGGGCTTCTTATCATGAAAGACGCCTGCGGTTACTGTCGCTGAGCCGAGGAGGTTGGTGGTCACTGCAGCGTGGTGTGGAGTTCTTGAGCTCATTACATGCTCAGAGGAAGTTTCACATTTTAAAACTTGAGAAAAGGGTGGCCAAGGACCATCCTGGATGTCAATAAATCTCATGTTAACAGCAGGGCAGAAGAGAAAGCTTGAGGTTTTTCTTTCTATTTCTTAGAAGGGCCAAATGCCTGGCAGTCTCTCCAGAAGACCAGCAACTGCCCCATTCCCAGTAAGGATCAGGGCCTTAGGAGCTGAGAGCAATGCTCGTTTCCCTCACGGCACATAAAGGGGCCTGCCAGCTGAGAGGTCCGTGGTTGAGTAGTAACCACATTTGTGGAGGACTTTCTACTTAAGTGTCCACAGACGTGGTTGATGAAGATGAGTGTTTCTGGAAGGAGTTGCGTGGTTTGCTGTGGTGGTTCTCAAACTTTGGTGTGCCTGGAGTGTAACCCGGGTGTGTCTTAGGAATTCAGGTCCCTGAATTGCAACTGTAACGAATCTTTTTCAGTGAGTCTGAGGTAGCTCTGGGGGTTGTGTGCTTAATAAGCTCCCTAGGAAATGCTGATGCAGGTGGGCCACAAATCATGTTTTGGGAAATATGAGTCTTATGGGACGAATCCTAGGCTTCGAATCAGAAGAAGCGAGTTCTGTCCTTGGATCTCGCCCTAATGTGCTGTGCAAACATATGGAAGTTATTTCCAATTTCTGGGCTTGTTTCCTCTATAAAATAAGAAGATTGGACTAGATCAGCAAGTCTCAATCCAAACTGCACAACAGTGGAGAGCTTAGACACAATGCTTGTGCCTGAGCCCTATTCCGAGAATCCAGTGCTCAGGCTCTCATGATGTTGCCACACACTGGGAAAGAGTGTTGCAGTGGATGGGCTTAAAATACTTCCAGGTGACTCTAGTTGTTGCTGGCATTGAGAACTACCGTCTAGATATGCACAGTGTTCCTTCTTTGTGTTTGAATGCTGAATCGTGAGAAAATATATTACCTATGTCTCATTTCTTCATTGGTCCCTCCATTGTCATGGAGGGAGAGTTTTCTACAAAATACAATTTTCCAGAAAATTAAAGGGTACCCCATTAAGCACCAACCTGTTAAAACTTGCACTCTACTTTGTTTTTTCTTTATAAACAAAACATCAAAATCTTTTCTATGATTTAAAGTTACTGTCACTCATTCATGCATTCACTCAATAAGTATGCATTTGGTATCTACTTTGTGTTAGTAACTGTATTAGTTCGTTCTCATGCAGCTAGTAAAGACATATCTGAGACTGGGTAATGTATAAAGAAAAGGAGGTTTAATGGACTCACAGTTTCACATGGCTGGGGAGGCCTCACAATCATGGCTAAAGGTGAAGGAAGAGCAAAGGCAGTCTTAAAAGGTGGCAGGCAAGAGAGCATGTGGAGGGGAACAGCCCTTTATAAAACCATCAGATCTCGTGAGACTTATTCACTATCGTGAGAACAGCAGTATGGGGGTAACCGCGTGATTCAATTACCTTCCACCAGCTCCCTCCCACAACATGTGGGGATTATGGGAGCTACAATTCAAGATGAGATTTGGGTGAGGACGCAGCCAAATCATATCAGTAACATAACACCAAAAAAGGTTATAGGGCAGTCGAAGGCTTGATGGACCGTGCATCAGTAATAATAATAATTATAAGTAATCTTTAAACATTCATCAGGTGCCGAGGACATAATAGGCATTGTTCTAAGCAGTCTAGTTTTATTTCATCTAATCCACACAGCAGTCCACTCGGGTGGGCACAATGATAGCCCTGTTTTACAGATGAGGAAACTAAGGCACAGAAGAATCCTGTACTTTCTCAAGGTCACACAGCTGATTGGGGTAGAGCTGGGATGCAATCAAGCCCACTCCCCTGTGTGATGTGGAACGTGGCTGTCCCTGCTCAGAGCTTCTGTTTCATTCCGTGCTGAGTGGACCCTGAGGCCCCCTTTGAGCCCTCGCACATCACAAGTTCATGTCTGTCCCCAGGTCGCTCAGGAGGTCCCTCACGTGCATCAAGGAGAGCCTGCGTATCTTCATTGACCTGGGGGAGAAAGACAAGGCTGCTGAGGCCTGGCTTGGGGCGGGGCGACTCCACTACCTCATGCAGGAAGACGAGCTGGTGGAGCTGTATCTGCAGGTAGGCCTTCTGTAGAGCTCTCTGGGAGTTGTTGACTTGGGTTATTTGGGGAGGCAGCTGTACCTTCCAAATCAACCAGCTGGAACCAGAGAGGGATGATGTTTACCCTAAAGCTGTGGAGAGAGGGTCAACACTGGGCTGCTCCCTGAACACATGGTGGAAACCAAGGTGGTCTGGCAAGCTGAGTACAGGCAGCAAAGGGCCAGTTGCTGAGTCCCATATGCACCCTGGGAGGATGTGACGCGAGACTCGCATAGCACCTGTGATGTCACTTGTCCCATGAAGTATACCCGTCTTTCCAAAGCTCAACATACACTCTGACTTCAGGGTTTTGCTGCTGTTTGAGGCAAGGTGGGTGTGTATGTGGCGTGTTCACAATATTATTCTCTTATTATTATTATCTTTTGTTTGCATACTTTTAATATCAGAGATGTGGTAGAGTGTAGTGCTAAAAGTTCTGGGCTTTGAAGAGATAAAAGCCTAGAGTCAAATCACAGGGCCATCGCATTTGGACTGATTATGTGACATTTACTAAATGCTCAGAACTTAGTAAATGTTTAATACATGATATTTTACTGTTATTACTATCTGTACACTATTGACATTAAATACTGGGATGATATGTAAGATGTTTAATTCTATAAAAATATGCCAGTTTTCTTTCCCATATTTTTTTCTTTCTTTTTTTTTTTTGAGATGGAGTCTCACTGTCTCCAGGTTGGAGTGCAGTAGCGTGATCTTGGCTCACCACAACCTCCGCCTCCTGGGTTCAAGCAATTCTCTTGCCTCAGCCTCCTGAGTAGCTAGAACTACAGGCATGCGCCACCATGCCCAGCTAATTTTTATATTTTTAGTAGAGATGGGCTTTTACCGTGTTGGCCAGGATGGTCTCAATCTCTTGACCTCGTGATCCACCCGCCTCGCTCTCCCAAAGTGCTGTGATTACAGGCGTGAGCCACCATGCCGGGCCTTTTTCTCTCTTTTTACTTTTCCTTATGCTATCACATAAACTTGCACAAATTTACTTCTACTGAGACTTAATAGTGGCTGCTTAACACTGATGGCATGCTTCCTGTGTACAGGAGACTTTGCTAAACATTTCACATGTGTGTCGTAGTTTAACCCTCATTACAAATGCAGTAGGAGTTTCCATTATAATTTCCATTTTACAGTTGAAGCTCAGAGAGGCTGAGTAATTTGCCCAGTGTGATATAACTAGTAAGTGGTGGAGCCGAGAGTTGCACACAGTGTGACTTACAGCCTTCAGTCTCAGCCTCTGTGCCATCTGCCTTGCGATTGGGCTGAAAGGGTTTCAAGAGAGCAGACAATTCAGTCTTCTCCTTGCATGTTCTGGGAGACTGAAGTCCACAGAGCACTGTTCGGATTGTTCACTGTTTTGATGGCAAAGCTTCCCGACTCCAGGAATCCATCTCACTGCCCCTCTCCCTCTCTCTCTCTCTCTCTCTGTAGTTGTCCATACAATAGCAGCAACTGCAGGGTCTTGTCCTAGTGATGAAATGTGTTCACTGGCCAGAACTGATCCCAGGCCCCACCCAACCCCAACTAATTGACGTTGTGCAGGGTCATTTCCATGGAAGTGAATCATTCTGGACCTGAGGCTATTTGAGGTCCTGTAACTGTGCTGCAGATGCAGTGGTTTATTCTTTACTCTTCAACTTCTTTAGCACGTCTGGTGTACATGCAATCCAAAATAGCTGGCTAGAGATAAAGAGGATGTGGAGGCTAGGGTATTGGGATGAAAGCACCAACATTTGTGTGCCACCGATTATTGGTGTGAACTTGGAGAAGTTCTATTTTCTTTCTGAGCAACACTATCACCGTCTGGAAACTGTAAGATGTTGACCTGGATCACTATTTTTCAATTTCAGTTATTTACATATTAAATTCATGGTTTTGCTGTATACATGTACCTTCTATACCATTGTTTACTTTTTTTTCTTTGATTCAACATCAGATCAACTTAGCTTTTTTTTTTACACTTAGCCTTATCCTACACAAAAATATCTAAAATTGCAGGTTTTATGCATTGTTAATCTCTTTTTTCTAAAACACATTAAAATAAATACGTATTTAGTAAAACAAAATGTTTTTCTATGTACTATTAAAAATAATCTAGCACCGCCCAAAGTAATCTCTCACACCAGAATGGGGAAATGCCAGACAGGAGAATCTCTAAGTCCTCTTACCAGCCCTATGAGTGTGCAGACCAGTTTAGGATTTGGGAGACTTTAGCAGAGGATTAATTGATTTAAGTGGTCTGCATTTTAGCTCTGCCAGTCCTGTGGCAGTCTGGAAGCCCTTCTCTCTGCCTTTAACAGCTGTCTCTGTCCCACCCAGGCAGCCATCCAGACAGCCCTGAAGTCAGAGGAGTCTTCGCTGGCTCTCAAACTTTATGAAGAAGCAGGTGATGTGTTCTTCAATGGGACCCGCCACAGACATCACGCAGTGGAGTACTATCGAGTAAGTCCAAGAGGCTCAGTTTGACGAGCCAGGCCCTGGCACAGACGTGGGCAGGGTCAGGCTGGCCTTCGGCCTGGGTCCCTCTTCTCCTCTCTTGCTGTTATTTCTTTTCTCTCTCTTTCTTGTCCAGTACCCACCCACTCGCCCTCTCTTCAATCTAGCGGGAGCTCAGGGAAGGTTCTGATAAACTTAGTCATTCCAGGCTTGCTAAGTTATCCTTCCTGGGATAATACACTGAAATAATTGAGTCCAGGAGTTGAAGACCATCTCGAACTGTTGGGTGCATTGGACTTTACAGTTTGTAACACACTTTCAAGTTTACCAGTGTTTCCCACTTACTACTGGTGGCGTGATGGGAGATTACGTAAAGGGTTACATAGATGAATGCTTTAGTTTGATCATATTTTTAATGAGCATGCATTAAAATATGTTTTTTAGAAACTAAAAATGTGGCCGGGGGCGGTGGCTCACGCCTGTAATCCCAGCACTTTGTGAGGCTGAGGCAGGTGAATCACCTGAGGTCAAGAGTTCGAAATCAGCCTGGCCAACATGGGGAAACCCCATCTCCACTTAAAAAAAAAAAAACCCACAAAAATTAGCTAGGTATAGTGGCACGCACATGTAGTCCCAGCTACTTGGGAGGCTGAGGCAGGAGAATTGCTTGAGTCTGGGAGGCAGAGGTTGCAGTGAGCTGAGATTGCACCACTGCACTCCAGCCTGGGTGAGGGAGGGAGACCCCATCTCAAAAAAAAAAAATTAAAAATATATTATATAAGCTCGTCAAACATATGATTTCACAGATATTGCAAAGAATGAGGCAAGAAAAAAAGAGTTGATGTTAAGAATAACACAAATTAAATAAATGTCCAGATATTAAGCAGATATGTCAAAAATTGGGATTGTTATTCATCACTGACTGAAATTTTGGAAGCCTCATGATCTTATTTGATCCTAAAATTGTTTTCATTCAGCTATTCATTCATTTGTTTGTTCAGTTCTTTTTTCAGTGATCAAACATTAGCAAGCACTCAGTCTGTGCCAGGCACTGAGCTAGGGAAGAACAAGGAATGCATCTCTGAGTATTGAGGGGCTTACTTTCATATGCATTTCATTTTGTAGATGAGAAAACTAAAGTTCAGAAAGATGAAATGATTTGCCTAAAATTCTATTATAATAAAGACATAGAAATGGCCACTTATTGAGATATTAACACTCTATGGGCATACTCATGTATGTTTCATAGATAGCACTGTGGATGCTAGGGGAACCCACAGCTGACATAGGAACGACTTCCCACATGACCTTGGGAAAAGGTTCCTCTTGTTTCTCCAGGTTTCCCCAATATTAGGGGGCCCAATTCCCTCTACTTCTTCTACTTTAAGATATGGACAAAGCACCATGAGCAAGGACCAGAGAGAGAGAGAGTAAAGGCACACAAGGAAACATGGATGGCTGACCCCTATTTGCTTTAGTCCTCTGCCATCCCCCAATCCCCGCTTGGAGAAGATAAGCCTCCCAGTGTATGGTATGCACCAATAGCTAGACTAAAGAAGTTCCTGGTGCCTCTGTTCTTAGGCTGGAGCTATTCCTTTAGCAAGGAGGATGAAGGCAGTGAGAACTGAGCTCCGGATTTTCAACAAGCTCACAGAGCTGCAGATCAGCCTCGAAGGCTACGAGAAGGCTTTGGAATTTGCCACCCTTGCCGCCAGGCTCAGCACGGTCACAGGTTGGTGGTCTTTACTGTCGGGAGTGTTGAATGGGAGGGATGACTAGTCAAGGATAGAGAGCAAAGTAATAACAACACAGGCTCTGGAATCAGACTGTGTGGGTTCGAATCCCGGGTCCAACTGTCAGGGAATAAAACCCTAGTTAGTAAAAGCACATTTTCCTATGAAGCGGAAATGTAAATGAAGGTCGGGTTCCTATTACCCTAACTCGCAACATAGCTGAATATCTTGTGTTTATAGCAAAAGCTAGTGGGAAACAATAAAAGTCACCGGAACAGACAAACGGCAAAATAAAAAAGATTTTAAAACCCCTCAACTTGAATGTTGGTGCTTGAAGAAAAGCAGGAATGATTAGAGAAGCCTTGATTAGATGTAAGGGTAAATGGAATATTCTATGATGATTCCAGAAAGGACTTCTGGGCATTTTCAAGGGCATCTAATATGGATGATACTGGACTTTATTGTGTCTAATTGCACTCTTGAGAGCTCTTTCTCTCTTTTCCATACCTTTTTCCTTATTGCATAAGACCTCATCCGAGTGACTTTGTGCTCATCTTAGCGAAGGCCTTGATGGCCCCCGGCAGCTCTTTTGAGTGCTTTATCCCTCACTGGACGGGAGCTGAAGGGAGGTTGCATGTATCCTTTATACATGTACCTCCCCTGTGGCTGATTTTTTCCATATCAGAGTATTTTCTCTCTCTTAGACTTTCTCTTTTAATTTTGGCTTTTGGCTCTTTGAAGCTTAAAAGTGATGTTTTTAGATGGTATCCAACAGCCACCTTGAAAATATTTTAAAGATACGATTGTAAGCCTTTGTTCTCTGTAAAAGGCTGCTCTGTATTAAAACAACAAATCCAGCAAACAGTCATAGACCTGTTAGAAACCAACATTCTAAAGCATGGTTTAAGGGTGAACAGGTGTCTGTAGCTTATCTGAGACTGAGAGTGGGTAAAGGGACCAAGAAGAGACTGCTACGTGGTGGTACCCAAGATAACTCTCTGAAGAGAGAGTTACCCATTGCAAACTTAGCTACTCCATCAAGCTAATCTTGTCACTATGACCCATTACAAGGGTTTAAAAAGAATTATTTCCCAGAATCCTACATTACAGTAGCATCTGCAATAAGGAGAAAATTTTCTTCTAGGAATCACCCCAGGAAACCTTGACTGGCACCCATCCTCTATTTAGTTACTCTTACAGAGCCCTGCATTTTCTTTTGTAGCATGTATGGCAGGTGTTATGTTACATTTGCTTGTGGGATTATTTAAGGAATGTCTGTCATGTGAGACAATAAGCTTTATGAGTACAGGCACATCTTCTGTCTTATTCCCTTATATCCCAGCACAGTCCCTGACATCCAGTAGACCTTCAAAAAGTTTTATGGATTGAATGAGTGAACAAATGAAGGAAAGTGTTGGCTGCAGGATATCTCTGTCAGTCTTCTAATTCCTAGGAGATCGGAGGCAGGAGCTGGTGGCCTTTCACCGCCTGGCTACAGTGTACTACTCCCTACACATGTATGAGATGGCTGAGGACTGCTATCTGAAGACCTTGTCCCTCTGTCCACCCTGGCTGCAGAGTCCCAAGGAGGCTTTGTACTACGCCAAGGTGTATTATCGCCTGGGCCAACTCACCTTCTGCCAGCTGAAGGTAAGAGCCAGACTTCCAAGATTTCTTGACAGCCACCACCCAGCCATTCTGCTTCCTGACCCAAAGACAGTGAGGAGCCTTTGGGGTGGAGTTGAGAAAACCAGAGAGTCAAGATGTCGAGTCTTGTCTCACAGGGTGAGTAGTGGCTCTATAGGGGATGTGGAGGCTCTTCCCACTTAGTCCTGCTGAAGACCTCAAAAGATTGAGCCCCAGATATGGAGGCTATAGTGAGCTGAGACCTTAGCAGCTGGGACTGCAGGTACACACCACCATGCCTGGGTAATTTTTGTATTTTTTGTAGAGATGGGGTTTTGCCGTATTGCCTAGGCTGATCTCAAACTGTTGGACTCAAGCAATCCACCAGCCTCAGCCTCCCAAAATGGTGGGATTACAGGTGTAGGCCATCATGCCTGGCCCAGAACTTCTTATTTTTTGGTGACTTCTAGAGTTGTGTTGGTTGCAATTCTCTGTTACAACCCTGACCTTCATATTGTTTCCCTAGGTTTGGCTTCCATTTACCAGAGGTCCCTGTCCCCTGAAGCACAACCCTTAATCTCTTAATATAGCAGCTTCTGAATCACTCCTGTGTTTGGCCCCAGGGAATCCACAGGGCAGCTCTGCTGTTCTTTCCTTATTTGCCAGACTTTGCTTCTGGCCTGAATTAATTACTGACTTATGAGGGTTAATGGAAACCAGGCAGCCTTCTTGAGTCTCACCCAAAGAAGCATCTGTTTCTCATCTTTACTGTGTAGGGAGGGTGAAGGAGGTGGTGGGTCGGGGGGTGGTTTGTGAAGGACCCTCTAGTCATCTTGCCTCTGCCCCACAGCTCCCAGGGGCAAAGTGTGTGATCTGATCATGTCAATCAAGAACTCTAGGGATTGTAAAGAGAAAAACCTCAATTCAAACTTCCTTAGGCAGAAAAGGCAGCTGACTGGCTCGAAGACTGTGAGAGCTGAGTTACAGATTTAGCTGCAGATAGCTCTGGATCCTGTTCCTCAGTTGTCATCAGGGATTTCCCCAGCTTTCATTGTACCCCTTGACTCTGTATGTTTCTATTTTGCTTCATTTCTTGGCTTTTCCCCCTTCTAGCTACTGGCAGGTTCAAGTCCACCTCCGAACCTGCCAGTTGAGAGGGACCATTTTCCTTATTGAGTCACAGTGAAAAGTCCCAGGGAGTGGCAGACATAGGTCAGGTTTGGGTCATGTGCACATCCCTGAAGCACTGTGTCCAGGGCAATGATGTTTCACGATTGGCCAAGCCTGAGTAAGGGGCCACCTCTGTGCCTGAGATGGAAGGCACTGTGATTAGCGATGTCCCGAGGACCGCAGCGGAGGGAGAGAAGAGCCCCCCTAAGGACTCAGGAGATTGGGATGGACTATGGGGCCAAAAAAAAAAAAAAAAGCTAGAGTGGCCAGCACAGCCTCCTAGCCTGTCCTGGAAGTGTTGCTAATGCTGTCTCTTCTTTGCCCCCATACCATGGGGTTAGGATGCCCACGATGCCACTGAGTACTTCCTGCTGGCCCTGGCAGCAGCTGTCCTGCTGGGTGACGAGGAGCTTCAGGACACCATTAGGAACAGGCTGGACAACATCTGCCAGAGCCCCATGTGGCACAGCAGCCCATCTGGGCGCTCCTCAGAGAGGGCACGGTGGCTGAGTGGTGGTGGCCTGGCCCTCTGAGTAAAGTTGTCCTGTCTCTGGACATTTGGCAGGTCAGACTCTGCCCCCTGCGCTAGATTCTTAGATACTCATTGGGAGGGACCAAGTCTCTACCTGGCCTAGCCCTCTCATTTTACAATGAGAAGAATGAAGTCCAGAGGCAGAGTGGCTCATTGCAGGCCACAGAAAGATCTGATGGGGCAGCGATGAGAATTCCTGGCTCCGGGCTTTGCATCTGGAGTCTTTACCAGTTGATTGTTGCCTTCCACACAAACAGCCTCTGAAAAGCACTTTCTCCACATGTAATTCTGGAGAAGATGAGGAATCTTGCCCTCTGGGAATCTTCCTTCCTCCCCTAGTGAGGAAATGGGTCACTGCACTGGTGCAAAGGCAAGCAGATTGGAGTTTGTGTTCTTCATCGATTTTCTCAGGGAAAGACCTCCTCCCCTTGCCAGTGCAGGAACCTGTAGTTTCTTCCATTTCTTTCTTCAGAACCAAAGTAGGTATCACTCCTCGTGCTCACAAGGATTGGCAGAAGAGAATTCAGCAGGTTCTAAGCTCGAAAGGCACAGCCTCAGCGTGGCCAAATGAATTGCAGCAAACCTGACTTGGATTCACCATCTTCCTCCTGCCATAGAGCTGTGTTCCCACAGAGAACCTCCCAGAAACTCCAGGGAAGCTTTCCAAGAGCCGAGGCTTGGAAATTGAGTGTTAAGAAAATTATGACACACATTACATATAAATAGTGTATATGATTAAATATTGCCAGTTATATTTACACACACATTTTGTCTCATCCGCAATGGGGACAGATGAGATGGAGGACTTGAAGGGTCATTTTCGGTTTTTTTTAGACAGCATCTTGTTCTGTTGCCCAGGCTGGAATTCAGTGGTACAGTCAGGGCTCACTGCAACCTCAGACTTCAGAGCTCAAGCCGTCCTCCTGTGTCAACCTCTTGAGTAGCTGGAATTACAGGCACATGCCGCCATGCCCAGCTACAAGGCATCTTATTGATCTCAGGGCAGCTCCTTTACAAAGCACCTCTATTAATGACCTATCACTGCGGAGTAAACTGAGTGGCCTGAAATAATGCTTATAATCTCATGGTTTCTGTAGGGCAGGAATCCAAGCATGACTTAGCTGAGCCCACAGGCTGCTCAACTTCAACTAGAGAGGGATTGGCTTCCAAGCTCACCCACTCAGTTTTTGTGAAGAGTCAGCTTTTTGCTAGCTGTTGGCCAGAGGCTTCCCACCGCCGCTTGCCATGTGGGGCTTTCCACGGGGCGGTCACGACATGGCACCATGCTTCACCAGAGGGACCAAACAGGAGGAGCAAGAACCAGAGTGAGCAGGAGAGAAGGAAGTCACTGTCTTTCTATAACCTAATCACAGAAGTGACATCTCCTTAGTCTTGCCTATTCACTTCGTAATAAGTGAGTCACTAGGTCCAACTCCCACAAGAGGAGGAGTGTTGACCAACAGCTTGAATACCAGATGGTGAGGAATCATTGGGGATCATTTCAGAAGCGACCTACCACAGTATCTGAGTTCTTTGATAATGAAATCAGGAATTCTCTAAGACAGTGAACTGAAATCACGGGCCATTAGCCAGCAGCATCAGGATTACCTGTGAGATTGTTTGAAATGAAAATTCTAGGGCCCCACTTATGGTCTCTGAATCAGAATTTCTGGATGCTGGAACCCTGACCCGTGCAAGCTCTCCTGGTGATTTCAGTGCACACTAAAGTCTGGGAAGAACTGCTGCAGCACAAGAGCCCTCTGACAGCGTGCAGAACTGTCACCTGGTGACCTTGTTGAACATCAACTTCCTGGTTTCCATCTCTAAGAATTCTGATTCAGTAGATCTGTGATATAACCCAGGAACATGCATTTTTAGCAAGCAACTGAAGCAAACCTGATGCAGGGGGTTCAAACTTGCTCCTTGTGTGAACAAACAAGGAGACCAGCCATAATTCCCTCCATCTGATGGCCATCAGCTTAGCTTTTATTATCAGACCATCTGCCCTTGATTTCCAGCTTCTTGGACTGACCAGATGGTTGGCTGTATCGCAGTGTGAGATGGGAGCGTTGAGTTGAGCTGCCATTGCATCTTCTAGTCACCAACGTTGTCTGTGCATCGGCACGTATTTTCTCTTAGAGACATAGTTGGTTGTCAAAAGGCTGTCTACTCCAGAAAGTATTCTTCTCCAGGAAGGAAGTGAAATTATCTAATCCACGACCATGTAGAATAAATGCAGTTCTGCCCCCACCACAAGCTGTAAAAGCCCCAAGCTGGGAGGGATGTTGCGGTTGAGGCTATTCGGTCTAATCTCCCGTAAAGAGCCCTTTCAACAACATTCCTGGGAGACAGTCAGGGGCACATGCATTCCAGAACAGTTACACATCATATATTTAAAGAAGGCTCATGCAGCCCTGGACCCCATGCCACTGGCCATTCCCCGTCTGACTCAGGTTACAGATTCCTTCCTTTTTCCCACTGACTGCTCACTCTCCTCTGGCCAGATTTGTTTCTGTTTCTCTGAAAGAGCGGTTCCCATAACTGCACCAGTCTTTTGACATTGGCTGATGGATGAAGAGCACAGAGGGATGTTATTATACTTAATATGATTCTTCCTCTCCCCAGCAGCCACATCTGTCCTTGGTTTCTACTGGGCCTTATAATCAGCTGAAACTTGTGTGTCTTCTGACTTGAATTTCTGTTTGGACAGATCTTTCTCAATTGCTGCAAAGATACATATGCATTTTCATATGCAAACAAACACACATATGTGAAAGGCATTGTTTCTATCCATTTTACATTTCACTGGACATTTCAGCTAAAATGTTCTGATTCTGTGCACTTTGATATTCCTGTAAATCTGATGAATTCACCTGTAACCAGGTTAGTTATTAAAATGTTTAGCATGTTTCCAAAGACAAGGGTAAGAGTTTTTTTTTAAATGAGAAAAACATTATGCTACATAATTGCAATTACTATGTTCTATATGTAAATCACTTGCTAAAACTCTTTTAAAAAGTGTTTAAAATTTTCATTTTTAAAATGTGGGCCAACTATTCCCTTTGGAAACATGTGGATGCCATTTTTTTTTTTCATAATCCATGGAGAGTAAAGTGATGATTGGATCTGGTCTCTACTTAAACATTTTTAGAAAATAAGTGTATCATAGCCAAAGATGATCTAGTTACCTTCTTTATTCTAATTGTCCCCTCAAAACTTATGTGGGCTGTGTGGCTGCTGGCTCCTTACATCTAATCTAAATAAAGAACAAGGAGGGCATTGCAACATTGTGGAAAACCCTGTAACATGTTTGCTCAGCTTTCAGGTATACTAGTTCCTTGTCCAACAGTGTTAACATTCGGAAATCCAATACTGCTTTTGTCCTTTTCTTATTTGCTTTTTCCATTATATTAAGATGCCTTTATATTGTACCTCTGTATATTTAGGTATGTGTGTGTGTTCATTTTCTTCCTCTTTGTCAATATAATGCAGCTCATCTGGCAGCAGTTTATTTGAGGAAGGAAATATGCAGGAATGGAGGGTGTTAGGATGGGGACTGGGGGAGCCTATCACTAGAGGGAACCTGGGTTTTGGTCTTGTTTTTGACATTAAATTGCAGTGTGACCTTGGGCAAGTCACTTAACCTCTACACACTTCAGATATTTGTCCTCTGATATAAGAACCTCAGCTTTGGGTTTCTTTTCAGTAATGTTATTTTTATACTGGATGAACAGGATGAGAAACAGTATTGGAGAGATGAAATAATATATTTTTATAGCCCAATTTTATTCTCTTCTTTTTACAGATCAGTAAACTGAGGAGCAGAAGGGTAATTTTCTCCCAGACACATTGGTAGTTAGTGTCACAGACAGCAGTACTTGGTGTTGGGTGGGGGGAGGCTATGGTCTCATGACTCAAGGACTTAGTTGCACAAATGACAGGATTTCTGCTGTTTGGGGATACCGTCACAGTTGTTACGTATATATGTATGCGTGTGTGTATGTATGCATGCATTTATCACAATATGTACCATTCAAAGAGCCATTTGCAAAACATTTCCTAAATTGACTTACTTCGTTTACTCATATGAACATTTTTACAAAGGCTGACTAGTCTATATAGAAGAAAAACTTATATTGTTTTCCACAAACACAATTCCATAAATAACAGCAAAAACAATGAAAGCAAAACAATGCATTCACTTCAAGTTAGGTCCTGTTGTTCATTGCAAGCACCTAGCTTAGGCCTTATCTGGCATTGCCTGAAAATAGAGAGATTAATAAGTGGCAGAGGGAATAGATGACAGACTGTCACCAACCACTTTTTCCTTGCGCACTCAGAGAAATGGAGTAAGCAGGGAAGAGGACTGAGCTTTTTTCCATGAACGTCAGTGTCATTCAGTGCCAGGTTTGGGCACACACCTTGGGAATTGGGGACGCAGCTGGGTCACAAGAAAGGGGCAAATGATTTATCATGTAATATGATTCAGTATCAGAAGCACTGTAATTGAAGTTAATTACAGGATGTTATGGGCACTGAGGGGAGGGGACTTTACCAGGCATCAATAGGGTTACCGGCATGAGGAAGGGCTTTCTGGAGGACATGACATTCAGACTGAGTTCTGAAAGCGAGATCTACTTAATTCTAACTGCAGACCAGCAGATTGGTATTGACAGACAGTGCATGTGTCAAGCAAAGGTCCGGAGGGTGGGCAGGGCGTGATGATTTCTGAGAACAGCAGGAAGTTCAGTGAGGCTGGAGCAGATTCAGGGAAGCAAAGAAGGTTTGGATTCTACCTGGAGGCTGAGGGAAAGCTGCAGAAGGGTTATAAGCAGTTGAAAGAAACATAGTCAGATTTGTACTTTCGAAAGATGATTCTGGAAGCAGCATGAGACTAGATTAGGGCAGCAGTGGGGAGGGTGGAAAACCCATTCGGACGTGGCTATTCCAGCAAAACACTTCAGCTTTGATTCAGCTATCCCGAGTCTTCACTAATGTTCTCCTTCTGATTTCACCTTGCATTTAGTTGCCGTATTTCCCTAGGCATCACTGCTCTGTGACGGTTTCTGCCTTTCCTTGTTTTTCATGATCTTGACAATTTTTGTCTCTTTTCCTCGTGTTAATTGCCCCCATTGTGATGTGTGGACAAGGAGCAAAGAAGGAAGAAATTCAGGAGAATGGGCTCTGCACTCAGGTGGTCGCTCAGGTGGGGGCAATGGAATGTGTTTTGGAGTTGGGCATACTTGGGTTAGAAACTGTTTCTTACTAGTTGCGTGACCTTCCACAAATTAATTAACTTTCCTGAGCCCAGTGCTGTCAGAATTATATCAGACTTCTTTATGTCAAAGACAAGGAAATGGCTAAAGCAAATCCATCTTTGGAGGTATTATAAATCTTGACATTGAGAAGTGAAGCCAAACCTAGAGGCATGGCCGGGCACCCTGGTCCTGCATTCAGGGACACTTGGGTCTGAAGTTACCCCTCCTGTATAGCACTGAGTGACCTGAGCAACTTGCTTTATCTCTTTAAGCTTCGATTATTCCTCTGCTCAGAGTTTTGAGACGAGATGCATGGATGGCTTGCTGTGAATACTCAATTGGTGGTAGCTGTCACACTGAAGCGGAATTGAGTAGATTCTTAGTAAGCACATCTATTCCTGGGTCCCATGGTGTAAGTGGGAGGGTGTATATGTTAGGGGTGCTCTTTGCTACTGGGCCTTTCACTTGGCAGTCTTCCCTCTTGGGTGGGACAGCATTTA